GAGGAGCCCGCGCCCCGTTCAGCCGGGCCGCCCCCCCGCTCTGAGCATCTCCCGGAGAACGGAGACAAAGGAGGATTCATGTCTAAAGGTAGGGCGGCCGGCCGGGACCAGGCTGCGGCTCCAGCCGGCAGGGCCACCAGAGGGAGGGTCGCTGCGCCGCAGAGCCCACGCGCGGTGACACACGCACACACGGTGGCACACACCGCGAGAGGTACATGCCCGGAGAAATGCACACACGGAGCAGGGGAGACCCACGCGCGAGGACCCCAAGGCACGCGCACACATCCACGCCACCCACAGGTACCTGAGCCACCCAGATAGAGACTTGTGTGCGGGTCCACGGACCCCTCCCCATATACACACACAGACAGGCACACACGGCACCAACTGGTGGTCTCCAAGGAAGCTCGCTGGCCTCTGGAGGGACGTGTTGGGGGGAGGGGGTGTTCTGGGGCCCTTGACATCTATCTGTGATTTTTTTCTGGGAGCCTAGGCCTGGAGCTGGGGCTGAATGGAATTACCTTTGTGGGTGGGGGTGGAGAAAATCCCTAGCACAGGAAGGAAGAGGGGAGCCAACTCTAAGTCAGAGAGACAGGTGTTATTCTGGGTTGGTCCCCTCCCCCTGCTGCCACCTTCTTAACAGAGGGGTGGAATCCCTGGGCCAGACAAAGCCAAAGCCATTCATTTGCTTGTAAAAAGAAGCCAAGGGTCCTTGCTGGGCATGTGGCAGGAGGGGCTGCTTCTGTGGGGGTCTTGCCCAGAGGTGAGTCAGGTGAGTAGTGTCTCTTTGGAGCATCCATGGGGCAGTTGGCTCCTGGTAGGGGTGGCGGCAGACAAAACCTCATTCTCCAGGCCCCTAGGGAGGCAGACTTGAGCTGCATCCCGCTGTACCGGTATCCTGAGCTCTTCCCCATCCTGTGGAACCCTCCTCACCCCCCTGTTGCAGGATAAGGTCTGTTAACAAGGTCTTACCCCCAACCCCCACCCCAGGTATGACCTACCCAGCAGCCTTAGCTGGAGGAGGAAGGAAGTAGTTTGAAGTAATACCTGCCCTGCCATGGGCCTTTCACTCATCATTCATAATTCATTCATTCATGGTTGCTGAGTACCTGTGGTCTGTTAGACCCATTGGGGGTTCCACTCATAGCCACTGAGTTGACTCTGACTCACAATGGTCCTGCAGAACAGAGTGGTTACTGCTCCTGAGGGTTTTCAAGGCTGTGTGTGGTGCTGTAGGATAAGCACTGAACTGCTGACCCAAAACAAAGGTCAGCTCTTCAAACTCACCAGCTACTCCTCAGAAACCCTATATAGGGTCAGTATGAGTTGGAACTGAGTAACTGTCATGTGTCCAGAGGTTTTGGGTACCTATAAGACACCCTCACCAGACTGTGGGCCCTTAACAACACCCACAATCTATAGAAGCAGACAGCTAGGTCCTTTTAGAATGCATGGCCCCTGCCCTCAGAGGGGCAGGAAGGAGCAGATGCCAGCGCCTGCCATGCATGAGCCAGTTGGTTCACACTCATGCTTTCCTGTAAACCGCCACAGCAACCCTGCAAACAGGATGCTGTCCACACTTTCCTAAGGAGAAAACAGGATCACAGGGGTCACTCGGGTAGAATATATTAGGGCTGGAATTCCAGCAGGAATCAGCAGCCCCTCAGGGGGTCTGCACAGGGAACAGTAGGGCAGAGGATGGGGTTACAGAAGCCACCTCCATCTGTCATGTGCCTAGAGGTCTTTGGGTACCTATCAGCCACCCTCACCAGACTGTGGTTCCTCAAGGGCAGGGACCTTGTCTAGGGTACAAACAGTCTCAGTTACTCAGTTACCCAAGTAAGTCTGGGCTTACTTATGTGTAGTGAACATTTTCACATGTTCCCACATCAAGGCTTCCACTTCTAGGTCTGGTTGGCATCTGTCTCTCTCAGCCCCAAAGCACCTTCTTGCAGAATCAAAGCCTCTTTTCAAATAGACAGTCCCTGAATGGGACAGAGGACATAGTCCGCCAAGTAAGCACAGATTTACTTCTGCTTGCTTGCTTACTAATCTGTAGTGAACAGTGTCAACTGATTTTCTTCATACCATGTGGCGAAATCTATGTGAAACTGTTCACTTAGACTAGTAAGTATGCACCAGAAAGCCAGTACGATTTTGCTTGTTGGATAATCTGCCCTGGATACAAACACAAAACTAGCCTTGGACTTGACTGGAGCGGGCCCCACTTGATAACATCTGAAAGGGTCCAGATGGGATGGGATGGAGTAAGTGAATGAATGAATGAATGAATAAAGAGTATCAAATAGTCACGGGGGCTGAGGTGGTGCAACAGAGGGGCAGACTTTCCTGAGGGAGCTCAGCGCTCGGACTGAATGCTGAAGAAGATGGAGTTAGTCAGGAATTAGAATGGAATGGTGCCCAGCAAGGCTTACAGTATATGCAAAGACCCCATGCTGTGAGTGCAGCACATTTGCATCTATGTGTAGCTGACAAATTGCTGGTTGTTAGCATATGGCTGGCCTGTAATTGGCATGTGCTGGCAGATGCTCTGTGCAGTGCACACCCACCCAGTGCCTTGGAGTTGTTTCTGACTCATAGCGACCCCTCTATAGGGCATCTGAGATTGTGGATCTTTCCAGGAATTGACAGTGTCATCTTTCTCCCTCGGAGCAGGTGGTGGGTTTGAACCGCCAACCTTGTGATTAGCAGTCCAGCGCCTAATCCGCAGCACCACCAGTGCTCTGTGGGTGCTAAATAGGTCTTGCTGAAAGACTGAAAATGAGTACCAGCCACAGGCCTGCGGGACCCCTAGAAGTTTCTTATACACTTGGTAGGCCCCTTTGCTTGGCTCTACTAAGGTCTGTCTTTTGGGAGTGCCCATTTAGGATGCTGTAGTGTATCAGGATAATGCACTGGATTGCAAGGGCAGTTTGAACTTCAAGGTCGGCAATTCAAACCAACCAGCTGCTCCTCGGAAACCCTATACAGGGTCGCTATGGGTCGGAACTGACTCGATGGCACTTAACAACAACAACAACAACAACAACAGTTAACAGGCCAGGACTGAGCAGACTATGGAGAGGGCTTTTTAAAAATGTAACATACTTTGTAAGAATACTTACCAGAAAAAAAAATCCCATAAACATTGGGCTCATTTTACAGGTCTGTAAAATGGGTATAAGACGCCCTTCCTCCCCACCCACACACACCCCAAGTGACTCTATCTCATAACCAGGCTATGAAGGCCAAATGGGTTTCAGCCGTAGAGGCATGAGTGGTGTGGGAAGCTGGGCAGGGATAATGGAGCAGTTGGCCCCAGGGCGCAGGTGTGCTGAGTAGGGCCCTGTGACCCAGGCGCTGGGGAGAGGGGAAGAAAACCCAGCTGTTGAGAGAGTCAGCTCCGGCTGTGCTGAGCCAATCTTGCTGCCTCCAGGAGCTGCTGACTGCCATTCGCTTTCTGGGAAGCAAGAGAGAGCCAGGCCCAACCCCAGCCTTAGGGAGGGCCCGCCGTGGTGCCAGGTTTGGCTGGGACTTGGAGTGACAGGGAAAAAACAGCTTCCCATCCGAGAGTGAGCCGGTCTTGCCAGCAATGGTGGAAGGAGCAGGTGGTGGGGTACAAGAGTGGAGTCCTGGTGAGGTTTAGAACCGGGGAGGGAGGCACCCCATCTCCCCTCCCTCCTGCCCATTTGCCACTGCACAAGCCCTCCCTGAAGGCAGAAATCATGAACTGTAGCCCACCTTCTAGAATGGCAGAGCTAGAAGGGGTCTTGGAGGGAGTCTGGAGTCCAATAACTGAAGTCATTCACATTGGAGGCATTTCCCTTTCACAAGTGCTGCCGTGTGCCACAGAGCCTGTGAACTGGAAAGGAGTAGGCGCAGGGGGTCTGGGACTGAGAGAGCCTGCCCTCAACCTTCTGGGTACCAAGTCTCATGCAACGTTCACCACCGCCTTGACATTTATCTTAGTTGACAAATGAGGAAACAGGCTTCTAGAAGGGAGGTGCTTTGCCAAGTCCATAAAGCTGACAAGGAGCAGAGCCAGGCTCTTTGAACTTTTGTCCCACACCCCCACTTCATGGATGGTTCTCTCCAGTCACCTATCCTGGGGGACACTGACCTCACCCACAGATTCCTCTTGTGTGTGAGCCTAGCTCTCATCTGCTCGGCCCAGGGGGATGGTTGGCTTTCCCTTCTGCTGAAGGACTGTTTTCCCAACCTCCCTTTTGTCTGTCACTCCACCATCACCCCACACTGTGACGCCTCAGGCCAGTGACTGCCCCATTTAGGTCTCTTCACCTCTCCTTGGTCAAAAAAAAGTCTTTTTCCTCTCATGGATTTCTAAAACTCCAGCCCTGGAACTTCCCAGGGTACTGATGCATAGGACTTTTCAGTAGCATCAAGGAGACAAGGAGACAGGGAGGTTGGGAGAGCTGGTCACCTCTGCTGTGGGCTGTGGGGGGTTTCTGAAGTCCAGAGCTCAGCCAATAGATGGGTCTTTGCCCTTTATTTGGGAAGGCAGGACACAGGTCCAAATAATTCCAAACATGGGGTAATGTTGCCTTCTAGGGCATAGTTTTTGTTGTCACAACTGAGGGTTACTACTGACATCTAGTAGAGGCCAGAGATGCTGCTAAGCATCCTACAATGGCCAGGACAATTCCTCATTGCAAAGAATTCTCTGGCTCCAAAGACCAATAGTGCTGAGGTATGGAAACCCTGGGTTAGACTCACAGATGTGGCACTGCAGGCCAGTGGAGTCATCTGACAGTGCCCCAGCAGCTGGAGAATCTGGGTACTGGCTCTGTGGTCTTAGGCAAGTCCTCTCGCCACTAGACTGCAGTCTCTTCATCTGTGACATATGGACTTAGACTGGATGGGACCTGAGTCTCCTTCCAGCCCTGCTTCCTTATGCCTCTGTGCTAGGAGAAAAGTAGTGTCATCCCCGTGACTCTACCCCTTCCCACCTTGGCTTTGCAGGGTTTCCAGAGACCAGGACGGACGCAGCCATGTCAGAGCTGGTGCCTGAGCCCAGGCCTAAGCCGGCGGTGCCCATGAAGCCGGTCAGTATCAATTCCAACCTGTTGGGCTACATTGGCATCGATACCATCATCGAGCAGATGCGCAAGAAGACCATGAAGACGGGTTTCGACTTCAACATCATGGTGGTCGGTATGGAAGGCAGTGGGGGCAGGGGGTTGCTGGGAGCCTTGTGGTGGGGAGCATGGAGGAGCCCACTGATTTCCTTAGAATGGTGCCAGTCCTGACTTTGCAAGGAGCAAAGGTTTCCCCATGTTGATCACAAAGGCCTGTTGTTTGGAGGCTGCCTTTGGGGAGAGGGTGTCTTGGCCAGCTAGTGCTGATGTGACAGAAATATCACAAAGGTGTGACCCTGAAAAGCAGACATTGATTGTTTCACAGTTTAGGAGAAATTTTGAATTCAGGACGCTGACTCTGGCAGAAGGCTCGCTGTCTGTCAGCCACGGGGAGGGGTAAAAGTTCATGTCTCTTGCAGTATTCTTGGATTCCTGGGTGATTGTCACATGGCATAGCATCTGTCTTGCCCCATTTGTGCGTCCTTGTCTCTGTGTGTTTGCTGTCCCTTATAACTCAGATGTGAGGAGGTTTAGGACCTGATTAGAGGGTTTCGTCTCCATACAGGGGGTTGGTCTCCAACACACATTTTTGGGAGATGCAATTCAATCCATCATCTCCTAGGGCTAACTAACTGATATAGCGCAGGAGCTTTGTCATCTGCCCTGGGACCTTCCCAGATGGGTGTTACATAGGCATCCTCTTAACCACCTTGGACCTGCTTTCAAGTGTGTGGCTTGGTAGACTCATCAGTGTCCTCCCCTACCTCCAAGAGCTGGTGGGTGGCTTGGATGCAGGGTGGTCTCATTTTGGATCTTTTGTAGTATTTTAAAGCTTAGAGAGAATTTCTAGGAATGTGGTCATTGTGTAACGTGAATACTGGAATCCCAGAATATCAGAGCAGGAAGGGATCATTGGCTGAGACAGTTGCTGCAGTGGAGGTCTGGGTATCATTCTTCCTTTCCTCTCCTCCTTTATCCCCCAGTCTTACCAACCTTCAAGTCCTGATCATCTTACTTCGTAAGTATCTCTCACTTGTGTCCACTTCTCTGCATCTCCTCTGTCACCATCTGCTGCCCCTCTCACCTGGATTGTCATGACCACCTGAGGTGCTAAAGGTGCTAATCTGCAGCAAGAGAAGGAACTTGGGCCAGAATGTCAGTTATTGGCAAGTCATGCTATACATTTTGGGGAAAAAAAAAATCAGCTGAATTCAAGTGTGAACTTAGTGTGTGATGAATGAGCAGTGTGCAGCCCGCGGACACTGGCAGTTGGTCTAGAAACCGCATTTTGAATGGGACTGATCCACCTGATTCTCTGTGTCTTTTACCCTCTAATCTATTGTCCATCAGGTACGAAATCATCTTTCCAGCCTACTCATCAAGTCATCCATCCTACATAAAACCCTTCAGTAACTCTTTAGCTGAAGGTTGAGCTGTTCATGCTGCCCAGAGAGGATAAGTTTACATCCCTAGTCTGACCTGGTACTACCTCTCCAGCTCACTTCTTAAAACGTCTCATCTAGCATTGCGCTCCACGCTCCTCAGGATTGGTTCTCCTGAACTTGCTGTGCTCTTTCCCGCCTCTGAGCCTTTGCATATGCGGTTCCCTCTTTCTAGAACACCTTGTCCCTTCTCATGGTACTCTCTGAGCCTTCATGTTGCAGCTTAGTTACTTCTCCCTCACAGTCTTCCTTGATTCCAGAAACTGGGCCAGATTCCTTTTTGTAGGTGCTTACAATATCCCGTGGGTGTCTCTTTCATAGTGATAATTACAACATATGGCGATTGTCTGCTTATGTTTTGGTCTTTCTCCCACTAAACATCTCCTTGAAGGTAAGGATGATGTCTTGCCCACCACCGAATCTCTGATCCTAGCACAGCACTCGCACTGAAGAATAAATACATTGGGAATGAATGACTTCAGAAAACATCCAGACCAAGAATGGCAAATGCAAGACACCTGGGTCTCTTCTCGACCACTCATGTCCATGGAAAACATGGCTGACCATTCATGGCCAGTGCTCAGTCCTGGGCCCAGGTACAGCCCAGATTGTATTACCAATTGATCTGTCCTAATGAAAAATGCACCTTATTTACCATTCCCAGTCTCCTTCATCACCTCCCTTCCCACCATCCAACCCACAAAGAAACTCCCATTCTAAGGAGCACACATAGCATGTTTAAAAATATTTAGGAAACTAGCACCTAGGACCCTAGGCTCGAGCTGCGTACTCTGATTCTTTTTCTGATATATAGGCAGTCCTTGGTGTAGGAATGAATTCGTTCCTAACTGTATCTTTAAGAATTTGTAGGTCAGTTGAAACAGGGGCGTATGGCTCTTATTTAGCCTTACTTAAGTGCAAAAAAGTCTCAAAGCCTTTTTTTTTTTAAATTTTTAATTTTTTATTGTGAATTATGTGTTAGTTTACATGGGTGAACATTATCTTTACATTCATCCTATCATATTTTGTTTCATTGCAATGATCACAATCCCCTGCATGCATCATCAAACAACCAAAGGATACACACCACACACCTGTCCCCTGGCTGCCAGCCCACAGCTCTTCTCCCTCCCTGAGTCCAGAGTCCCCAGCCACTCCTTCTGTCCACATCATTGTTTCTGCCTCCATCCCTGGTGTCACTGCCTCCTTGGACAGAGTCTTGCACTTCGCTTTTCTCCCTTCATGGTTCCAGGGATCTCCACTCCTGGACTGCAAAATCAGCCCCTCCCCTCCTTTTGTTACCAAACATTTACATTTACCTTTCCAGCACTGACTGTCAGACCTGATAGCAATCATTCCCTATTGAACCACAGGAGTCCCTTCCCGCTCACCTTTTATCAACCCCATCCAGACAGGTTGGAAACAATTCAGTGGAGATTCTACCTTAACCTGTATCCTGTGGAGCTAGGTTCCCTATTGAAAGCTTGTAAGCCAGTCACTTCTTGCCTTTGCAGTTCCCCTATTTTGGGTAGCCAAAGTCTAAGTTCCCCATCCCTGTCAACCCTGTGTACCAAGGGGATAGGAATGATCCTCAATGTAGAGATTTGTCCGCCCCTTTGTCATACTGCAGCTACAAGCATAGGTCAAGTTCATCTAGTTGTAGTGGGTTACTCTTTCTTTGTTTATTTTGTTCCTCTTCTTTCTTCCTCTAGTTGTGTTCTGATCATCCAGCCATTAATGCCAGGTCAAATGGGTACTATCTGTAAGTGTAGGTGTTCTTATGCATTTCCCCTCACTTCATATCAGCTGGATGCTTTACACTCTGTTCTAGTCCTCTGGGGCCATGCCCCTGCCCCTGAGCCCAGGAGTCCCCAGGTTTTGTCATACCACTGGTTAACCAGGTCTCAATCCAGGTTAACAGGAATCCATTGAATATGGTCAGACTTAGTTCACAATTTCATTGCTGTTTTTCCCCTACTTCCCATTATCTGTGACCAACGTGGTCAACAGCAGGACCACATGCCTGCTAGTGTATTCCAATTGAGTTTCAGTCTTGGAAGGGGGTTTGCCTTGAGGGGACCTGACCACTTGCCTTGATGGCTTCCTGGGGAACAGCTTGCTTGTTCTTGTCGTAGTCAATTGGACTGCTGTTGTTGTTTTTGATTTTTCCTGCTGGTCTTTCTTTCAAGAAGTATCTTCTGTTCTTCTAGCTGCTACAGACTGATCTGCTTGTTCTTTCAAGTAGAAATTTCCCACCTCAGAAGACTCTGGATGGAGATCAGGATTCCACGTATGGTCTTGTGCAATGCAAAGTCTCTGCAGGAAGCCTCCTTCATTGGGCAAATTCTAGCCCCATTTTAGGTATTCCAATTAGTTATAGGCTGAAGATGGACTTACAAGCTTTCTCTGGTGATGTTTCTGGCTATTCCTTTCTCTCCCTTTCAAGTGTCTATTTTACAATAGTAGGCAAGGGAAACCAAGACTCAAAAGACAGCCAAGCATCTTAACATCATTTCCCCACTTTTACCCATTCACACAATGCCTCAATCTTTGTATATCCATGAGCCCTGTTGTTCCACAGTTGTGCTTACATCATTATTTACTTCAGTCCTATTTAGCCCATCTGCCTTGTTTTTTCTTTCCCCTTACCCTTCTAGTGTGTGCCCCGCACACACCCCCAGCATCCAAACTATCCTGTGTCTATTCCCTACCCTGTGCTCCACTGTCCTATAAGGCTCAAAGCCTTTTCAGTGACTTAAAAACTACACATGTGGCACATGAAGGTTGTTGTTGTTAGGTGTCATTGAATCGGTGCCGACTCATAGCGACCATATGCACAACAGAACGAAACACTGCCTGGTCCCGCGCCAGCCTCACAATCGCTGCTACATTTGAGCCCATTGCTGTTGCCACTGTGCCAATCCATCTAGTAGGGGGTCTTCCTCTTTTTCTCCAACCCTCCACTTTACCAAACCTGATATCCTTTACCAGGGACTGGTCCCTCCTGACAATATGTCCAAAGTACGAGAGATGAAGTCTGGCCATCTTGGCTTCCAAGGAGCACTCTGGCTGTACTTGTTTGAATACAGATTGATTTGTTCTTTTGGCAGTCCATGGTACTTTCAATATTCTCCAAACCATAACTCAGATGCTTTGATTCTTCTTTGTTCTTTATTCATTTTTCAACTTTCACATGTATATGAGGTTTTTGAAAATATCATGGCTTGGGTCAAGTGCATCTTAATCCTCAAACTGACATCTTTGCTCTTGAACATTTTAAAGAAGTCTTGTGCAGCAGATTTGCCTAATGCGATACATCGTTTAATTTCTTAACTCTGTTTCCATGAGTGTTGATGTTTGATCTAAGCAAAATGAAGTCTTTGACACCTTCAATCTTTTCTCCATTTATATGGATGTTGTTTAGTGGTGAAGATTTTTTTTTTTTTTTCTATACACTGAAGTGCAACCCATACCAAAGGCTGTGGTCTTTGATCTTCATCAATATTTTAAGTCCTCTTTACTTTCAGCAAATAAGGTTGTATCATCTATATTTTTTATAGGTTGTTAATGAGTCTTCCTCTAAACTTGATGCCATGTCTTTTTAAATATAATCCAGGTTCTCAGATTATGTGCTCAGTATATAGATTGAATAGGTTGGTGAAGGAATACAACCCTGGCGCACATCTTTCAGTGTTCTGAACACAGAACCATTCAATGTTCTCTTGTTCTGTTTGAACAACTGCTTCTTGGTTGGTGTACAGGTTCCTCACAAGCACAATAAGTGTTCCAAAATATTAATTCTCCACAGTGTTGTCCATAGCTTGTCATGAGCCACACAGTCGAAAGCTTTTGCGTAGTCAGTAAAGCACAGGTAGACGTATTTCTGATGTTCTCTGCTTTCAGCCAAGATCCATCTGATGTCAGCAGTGGTATCCCTTTTCCTTGTCTTCATCTGAATCCATCTTGAACCTCTGGCAGCTCTTTGTCAATGTACATTTGCAGCTGTTTTTGGATTAATTATTAGCAAAATTTTGCTTGTATGAGATATTAATGATACTGTCCCATGACCTCCACATTCCATTGGGTCACCTCTCATTTGGAATGGGTACAAATGTGGATCTCTCCCAGTAAGTTGGCCAGTTAGTTATCTTCCAGATTTCTTGGCAAAGATGAGTGAGTGCCTCCAGTGCTGCATCAGTTTGTTGAAAGATTTCAATTTTTATTCCATCAATTCTGAAGCCTTGTTCTTTGCTATTGCCTCCAATGCACCTTGGACTTCTTCCTTTAGTATTATTGGCTCCTGATTATATGCTACCTCTTGAAATGGTTGAACATCGACCATCTCTTTCTGGTACAGTGACTCTGAATTCCTTCCATCATCTTTTGATGCTTTCTGTATCACTCAGTATTTTGCCCTTGTTGTTGTTGTTGTTAAGTACCGTGGAGTCAGTTAGCGATTCATAGTGACCCTGCATAGCGTTTCCAAGGCTGTAGATCTTTACAGGAGCAGAAAGCCTCATCTCTCTCCCGTGGAATGACTGGTAGCTTCAAACTGCCAACCTTGAGGTTAGCAGCCCGATTCATAACCACTCCGCTACCAGAGCTCCTTATTTGCCTGTAGACTCCTTCAATATTGCAATTTGAGGCTTGAATTGTTTCTTCAGTTTCCTCAGCTTGAGAAATGCTGAGTGTGTTCTTCCCTTTTGGTTTTCTAACTCCAGGTCTTTGCAAGTGAAGGTAACTGTGATGAATTTGTTGTGACTTGGGGTTAGTGCAGTCATTTCAAAGTGATAGCAAATTTCCCAGACGTTAAGGGGCAAGTTTTCTATAAACCTGAAGTTTATAACCCGGGGACTACCTGCACTATGGAATGGTTCTAGGCCAGCACTTCTTAAACTTTACAGGATTCCTCTGGAAGTTCTGGAAAAGTCCATGTTCTGACTCATAGATCTGGGGTGGGTGTCAGGTGATGTCAATGGCACTTGACAATGGCCAGGCTCCTGTGTGTGACACCATGGACAGTACAGGGTGGGAAGCACTGCTCAGACTAGTGGTCTTCACTCTTCTTAGCCATGGGGCTCCTCCTTGAAACGCGATCTTCTGCAGAACTGACCATGTCTGTGTTGTGGTTAAGTGCCATTGAGTCCGTTCCAACTCAGCGATCCTGTATAGATAGAGTTTCTGAGGAGCGGCTGGTGAGTTTGAACTGCTGACCTTGTGGTTCAAATGACCTTGTGGTCCAGTGCTTATCCAACAACGTCAACCCAGGACTATGTCTGTAGCGCAAGTGAAAACAGAGCTGAGCGAATTAGGGGGTAACTGGAGGCCTGGTGTGGTGCTGCAGGATACTGTGCTGGACCACAAGCTCAGTGGTTCAAACTCCCCAGCTGGTCCTCGGAAACCTATACAGGGTTGTTATGAGTTAAAACCCACTTGACAGCACTTAACAACAATAGCAAGTGAGTAGCCCTGCTGTCCAGCTCCCTCCCAGGCACTAGGTGCACAGGTCACAAGAGCTTCTGGAAGCTCAATGTGAAAACCACTACACTAGACAAATGCAGAGGTTGTCCTTTCCCCATAGTGAATGCAGCCCAGGTTTTGGGGCCCTTGGGACTGGGGACTCCAGGAAGGAAAGAATGTGAAATTCAGTTGACATTTCCTCAAGTCCCTCTCTAGTAAGCAGGAAGCTGGTTTCACCTGCCTTGTTTCCCTGCTTAGCACAAGAACACCATAATATAGCCCCCTCCATTGCCGGTGGTCTGGCTCACAGCTCAGGGCTCTTCCACTCCGTACTCCGTGTTCTGTAAGCTCCTGGGAGAGATGCTTGCTTAGGAGTGGCTGTGATTCCTCCTCCCTCCTCCTCCCACCTTGTGCATACAGGGCAAAGCGGACTGGGCAAGTCGACACTAGTCAACACACTCTTCAAATCCCAAGTGAGCCGCAAGGCTGCCAGCTGGAACCGGGAGGAGAAGATTCCCAAGACGGTGGAGATCAAAGCTATTGGGCATGGTGAGGACAAGGCAGGGACCCCCCACCCCACCCCACCGGGGTGGATTCAGAGTAGCAGGGTAAAGAATGGGGTTCTAGGGAGAATGAAACCAATGAAAGGCAATTTTGAGACAGGATAGAACTCGACACTAAACTCAATTGTGCTCATTACAAAAAAGGAGGGAGGGAATGGGAACAAATGGGGCTTAGACCCTCTTCTAGGGGTAGAAATTGAGACAGGTAGAAAGAAGTAGGGAGGGCATTCCAGGTGCAGGGAACAGCATGAACAAAGGTATTGAGGTAGACAACACTGTGAACTACTTGCCAAAGGTTGGTCATTAAGAAGAGAAGGTCTAGGGCACCCAGGCTTAGTGGGAGGCTGCAAGGGCATCTGAGATTAGCCCTCAGACTGATCTCTTGGGGTCCTTTTCTGTTTACCACCCTCAGTGATCGAGGAAGGTGGTGTGAAGATGAAGCTGACCGTCATTGACACCCCGGGCTTCGGAGACCAGATCAACAATGAAAACTGGTGCGTGTCTGCCTCCGAGATTCCCACTCTAAAGACTCTGCAAGGGAGAGAGGGAGTGTGGTGCAGACCAATGTACATGTGGAGGCATCTGCACCCTCCATACTGGGGGTTAGTCAGGGAGACTAGGCAAAGGAGAGGAGAGTGGTAAAAGATATAGGGAAGTGGGGTTGTAAAGAGGCAAGGGAAGAGCCCAGATGGAGATCAGGTGTGTGGATGGAGGGAAGTTCAGCTGAGGAGTTGCCAGGAGGTGAGAGTGGATCTCTTACAACTGGCAACAGGACAGACCGACAGAACAGGGAGCTGAGGTGTAAAGCCAGACTAGCCTGAAAGCTTTGGCCAAGAGCTTGACCTGTAGGCCTCAAGTTGTGACAAGGCGAGACGGACTGACATCCAGGAAAGAGGAGAGTCTGCAGGAGAAAGTGAAATTGGGTGGAGGGCGTGTAGCAAAGTGGAAGTCAGCCTCCAACCAAGAAGGAGATGAAACAGGCTGTCCAGAATATAGATGGAAGGTTCCAGGCAGACATTTGCACCCAGTAGAGATGGAGACCATTGTATCTTTATAAGAGAGCTGGAGTCTGCCACGGCTGTACTGACCTTAGCAATGTGCCTGGTGACCTTCTTCACTGGTGTGCTCCTTGATAGAGAAAGGTACTATCAACAGTAGTGAATTGTAGTGAACAGTAGTGAATTTCTATGTGCCATTGGTATGTTAAATACTTTACGTAGGTTCTTTCCAATCCTTAGATGAACCCTACCAGGCAACCGTGTTACTCCTGTTTTACTTTGGAGAAAACCGAGGTTTAGTGAGGAGAGGGACAGTGATTTCTCCAGAGTCTCTCAGCTAATAAGTAGTGGAGATGGTGACAGTGTGTGTTGCTTTGTGGATGGGACAGGGTTTTGTAGGGCCTGATAGTCCAGGGAGAGGAAGACCATCATGGTGGGCTGATGAGGAATTGGCCAGCAGGTGACTCAACAAGGATCTATTGCATCTAGAATGTTATTGTTGTTGTTGTTATGTGCTGTGGAGTCAATTCCAACTCATAGCAACCCTATACAGGGTTTCTGAGGCTGTAAATCTTTATGGGAGCAGAAAGCCTCATCTTTCTCCCACGGAACAGTTGGAAGTTTCAAACTGCTAACTGTGCTGAGCAGCTCCTTATTGCATCTAGAATGCATTCCATTAATATATCCTAATGAAGATCTGGAGTCTGAGTGTGGCGCTGTAGGATAAGCACTGAACCATTAACCACAAGGTTGGTGGTTCAGACTCACCAGCTGGTCCTTGAAAACCCTATACAGGGTTGCTATGAGTTGGAACCAATTTGACGGCACTTGACAACAACAACGAAGATCTGTTAATAGAATGTATTCTAGATTCACCATGTTGTTGCTCCAATTGATAGCGACCCTGTATAGGATTTTGAAGAAGCAGCTGGTGGGTTTGAACCACCAACCTTGCAGTTAACACACCAGAACTCCAGACTCGCCATGGGAGGGAGGAGATGGGATGGCTATTGACAACACTTAAGATGAGCTTCAAGGTCTGCCCCTGTGGTACCCCATCTGCTTTCTTCCACACTCAGCTGGGAGCCCATTGAGAAGTACATCAACGAGCAGTATGAGAAGTTCCTGAAGGAGGAGGTGAACATCGCTAGGAAAAAGCGCATCCCCGACACGCGTGTCCACTGCTGCCTCTACTTCATCTCCCCCACAGGACACTCGTACGTAGCTGTCCTCACCCCGATGCTGGGCCTGGCTCTGGTTGGCCCATTTTGGACTGGGTAACCCAGCCTTGACTCAGCTGGAGAGAGTTAGGTGCATCTGGTTATAGTCATGGTCCCATGACCTTGGGATCCCCCTGGTCCTCATATCTGACTTCATGACCATAAGAGAGAAGCTGGAACCATCGGCCACCCTTCTACATATGCTGTCCCAACCCACAGCGTGACTGTACCAGCAGACAGAAGTTGGTATATGTGAACAGAGGGCACCTCACTTATTCAACAAATAACTACTTTGTACAAGCTTGGTGGGCAGCAAGAAGGCTGAAGAGGGGAGGGACAAGACTCTGGATAGGAGTTGGTGTTTGGGTGGGGTGTGGACCCAGCTTTCAGCATTGGAGGGTGACTGGCTCCACCCTAGAGAGGAAGAGAGCAACAAACAAAGAGTTGGGAACTCTGGGATATTGCAGGTCAGGCTGCATCATGGAGAATACTGAAAGCAGGCAGAGGGCAGAGATCTAAGCGGACAAGGTAGTGGCCCATGTCCTCATAATCTAGTACCAAGTCCTCATGACCTAGTACCAAGTTCTTGAGAAGAAGGTACAATACAAGACCCCACATTTTGGAGCAACCAGAGTATTCAGTAGATGCTCAATAGTGAAGTGGGGTGCAGGGGCACATGAGACAAGAACCTTGTGGAGGGCACAGGAACTCAATAAAGTCCAGTCCTAATTAGCTGGACCCAAGGTCAGTTTGACCAGCAGATGCTCTGACTTAATGTGTCTCCTGTGCTGCTAACTAGAGTCAGATAGGGTCTCATAGCCCAGAGGAGCTAAGCCTCAGCCTAGGGCAGGGATCTGGGCCCTTGCAGGCCTCCTTGTGATGGTTGGCAAGAACCCATTAAGAAGTGTTATCCAGTAGGACACCAAGCAAGCATCTGTGACCCAAGGACTTAAGAGGTGATAGTGGAACACAGAAGAAAGAAACCTCTAGATCTATGTGCTAAGAAGAGATGTCTGAAGGAGCAGTTAGAGTGGGGTAAAGGTGAAGGAGTCCCAGTGTACTGGGCCGCAGCATTGGTTTCAACTGCAAGGTCAGCAGTTCAAACTCACCAACCACCTATGAGTTGGAACCAACTCAACAGCGCTTAAAAACACGTGAAGGAGATTCAGCTGGGAACAAAGCAAGGGATGGGTGGAGAAGTCCAGGGCCTGTTGTGCAGGCGGTAGGAGCAGTTGTCTTGTGACCGTGGGAGTGTATCAGAGAAGATGGTGGCAGCCTTTTGGTCTCAGACATACTCTTGTCCTCGGTCTTCTGTCCCAAAGGTCTCCTGGGGAGATGGCAGTGGATGGACAGTGTAGTCTCCTTTGTAGGCAGAGACAGGTATGGAGGGCAGGGCAGGGCAGGGCAGGGCAAAGTGGTTCTGACATTCCCATCTTCTCTGGACCCCAGCTTGCGACCGCTCGACCTGGAGTTTATGAAACACCTCAGCAAAGTGGTGAACATTATCCCTGTCATTGCCAAGGCTGATACCATGACCCTGGAGGAGAAGACTGAATTCAAGCAAAGGGTGAGATGGCCCCCCACCTCCTTTTCCTAGTCCTGTCCCTTCCTCCTTTCCGTCCCATCCTGTGGGCTCATATCCCTCATTCTTCCTCGTCCCAACCTTCAACCCTCCTCTACGACTCTTCGCCCCACCTCTTACTTAACCATTGGAAGCTGGAGCTGGCTGTATCCAATGGTGAGGAAAGCTTGTTTTAGTTCCAGGCTACCTCTTCGTTGCCTTCTATACTGCCCCAGGAGCTCTGGTAGCGTAGTGGTTACAAATTGGGCTGCAAACCACAAGGTCAGCAGTTCGAAACTACCAGCGGTTCCGTGAGAGAAAGAAGAGGCTATCTGCTCCCGTAAAGATTTACAGCCTCGCTATGGGTCGGAATCGACTCGACGGCACTTAACAACAACAATACTGCCCCAGGAGTTCTGGTGTGGCGCTGTGGGTTAATGCACTGGACTTCAAAATTGCTTTACAGGCTTACTATGGGTTGGAACTGACTTGATAGCACTTCACAACAATAACAAATACTGTTCTAGTGGTGCTGTGGGTTAATGCATTAGATTGCAAAGTCGGTATAAATTGCAAGGTCAGTGGTTCAAGCTCACCAGCTACTCCTTGGAAACTATATACAGGGATGCTATGGGTCGGAACCAATTTGACAGCACTTAACAACAACAAGGAGCTCTGGTAGCGTAGTGGTTACGAAACGGGCTGCGAACCTTAAGGTCAGCGGTTCGAAACTACCAGCCATTCCGCGGGAGAAAGATGAGGCTTTCTACTCCCGTAAGGATTTACACCCTCGGAAACCCTGTACAGGGTCGCTATGGGTCGGAACCGACTCGACGGCACTTAACAACAACAACAACAACATACTGTTCTGACGTGATGCTGCAGAATAATACACTGGACCCTGAGGTCAGTTTGAACCACAAGGTCAGTGGTTCAAACCCACCAGCCACTCTTGGGTAACCCTATGCAGGGTCGCTGTAAGTCGGAACTGACTGGACGACACTTAACAGCAACAACATACTTACCTGCAAAAAATCTCCACGTAAACCACATGAGTAGGAGAAATCACCCTTCAAATGTTAAGTTGCTTGAAGGACTAGACTAATTTGCCAACCGGCTACCCGCTTGTCTTGATTAGTGTTCCTCATTGGTTGAGCCCCATGCTGGAAGCTTGGGGGTGGAGGATGCAAGAGCTATAGAAGGATAGTTACTGCCTTCCAGAAACTTCTAATCCAGCAGAATGCTGCAGGAAGGCTTCCTGGAGAAGGTGACATTTAAGCTTGGCCTTGAAAAAGAGCAGAGATGCTTAGGGGAGTTCAGCTGTCTTCCCTGAAAACAAGAATATGTGGGGGCTTCAATAAGTTTGTGGAAAAAAGAAATTTAAAGATAATGGGATTTTTCCATGAACTTTTGGAAGCCCCCTCATATAACACATAGTGGCATGAGCACTGCTGAGTGGGATCTGGATTCAGCCATGCTGACTTCGAGATCCTAACCTTAGCGACCCTGAGATGAGCATGCTGGTTGTAAGGAGCCATGAACCTGAAGTCTGCATCCCTTCGACTCTTACTTTGCACTCTCACCTATTCAGGTGCTTCCTGCTGCCCAGGGGCCCAGAGATCAGAGATGACCATTGCTCATTGACAGCTGCTTTATCCCTTTGACTTCAGAATGTCTGTATGCATGTTCATGTACATGTACATGCACACACACACACATACCTTTTTCATTATCCTGACACCTGGCTGCCTTGCTTCTCTTCATCCTTCGTGCAGGTTCGCAAGGAGCTTGAAGTAAACGGCATTGAATTCTATCCCCAGAAGGAATTTGATGAGGATTTGGAAGACAAGACGGAGAATGACAAAATCAGGGTGGGTACCGGAGTGTGGTTCTCATACAGGTGCCCTCCTGAATGTCCCATGATGCCTAGCGTGTGCCTCCTCTGTCCTTCTACCTGCTTCTTCCTTTCTGTACTCCCTTCTCTGCTTTGTTTGATCCAAACCAGAAGTTAAGTGGGGGAGATTCTAGGATTATAAACACACAGACGGCGCTCCCTGGACCCAGAAAGCCAATGCTCCCTTATACCCTCAGATCACACAGAGCCTGGAAAAACCCTAGTGTGGGATGATGGGAGGGACAGTCAGAGCCTGGGGACTAAGGGATCCACGTTCTAGTCAAAGCGTTGCCTCAGTTTCCTCAGGTTAGATGAGCAGTTTTGATAGGCTTTATTTCCATCTCAAAATAAATCTTGTAAAAATGAAATTTCAGATCATAGTCACTGCCATTGAGTCAATTCTGACCCTGTAGGTCAGAGGAGAACTGCTCCTTAGGGTTTCTGAGACTGTCAATCTTTGTGGGACCAGACAGCCTCATCTTTCTTCTGCAGAGCAGCTGGTGGGTCGGACTTTGTGGTTAGCAGCGCAGCGCCACCAGAGATCCTTAGATCCCTGACAGGATTCCAATATATGAAACAAACGCAGCGCTGCTTTGACTAAGTGATGGGAGGTCTACACAGCAGCCCCTGGGAGACCCCTGGAAATCTAAGGAACATGGAACCTGGCTTAGAAAGCACTGGCCTATCAGATTTCTAAGATCTCTGTCAATGCTACAAAGCTGCAATTCTCTATTTGCATTCTGGGCTTTTGGACTAACCCGTTATAACCTGGAGATTACTTCCTGCTTGATCTTGAATCTCCTCCTTCATCAGTTGTGGTGAATCTGGTTGAAGCACCTTGTCTGATATAATTGAGACAAGAAGTTAGTTCATTGGAAAAGTCAAGAGAAATGAGGAAATCATTTGAAAAAAAAATGATACCTACAAACCTACAATTTTTTATTTTTTTAACTTAAAATGTAGAGATCACATTTATTGAACATCTTTTTTCATGTAGAGCCAAGGCCTCTTTGAGAATGAGTCCACTCTTCATGGAAAAGCAGGTCACCTTAATTAAGTCTTTCTTAAAACATGTAACTTAATTTTCAAAGAAGGAGCTGTCTTTCCACACTTTCTGTCACATTGAATGTATGCAGTTACAAGAACTAGTTTACATCATTCAAATCAGTTTAGGAACAAGCACCACTGGCTTTTGGTGGACATTCTGCCCACCTGGTAGACTAGAGGGGCTTACACATATCAGAAAGTGACCTTGGAGCTAGAGAGCTGTTGATTTTTTAATTTTGTTGTTGTTAAGAATATACATAGCCAAACATACACCACCAATTCAACAGCTTCCAGATGTACAACTGAATGACCTTGATTATGTTCTTTGAGTGACACATCCAACTCTCACCCACCTTCTCTGAGCTGTTTCTCCCCCATTAGTATAAACTCACTGGTTCTTGTCTAATCTTTCAAGTTGCTGTCTTCCACTTGATTCCATATGTTGTTGTTGTTATGTGACATCAAATCGGTTCTGACCCATGGCAACCCTGTATAGGATTTCCAAGGAGTGACTGGTGAGCTTGAACTGACAACCTTGTGGTTCAAACTGACTTTGGAATCCAGCGCATTAACCCACAGTGCCACACCAGGATTCCATATAGATAGCTTAAAAGAGCATCATGCTCAAGTCTGCCAATAGGTCATAGTAACTCGGCCTTAGTAACTCGGCCCAGTCGGTTGGGTGGGTATATGAGTGTCTCTGGCTAATATAATAAGATGTCACAAACTGGGTGGCTTGTCACAGAAATTGATTGCCCCGCAGTTCTGAAGGCTCAGGGTCCGAGGTCAGGATACCAGCTGTGTTGGTTGTTTCTGAGGCTTTAAGGGATGCTCTATTCTATATCTCTTCTAACTGCTGGTAGCTCCCAGTGTTCTTTGGATGAAGAGTTACCCAGCATTCTTCCTCATGTGTCTGTCTCTCTCTTGATATGGGCACCACTCAGGTGAGGTCAGACCCTACTCTGCTCCAGTCTGACCTCATGTTAGCGTCTTCAAAGACTCTATTTCCAAATAAGGTTATGTTCCCAAGTACCAGTACTTACAACATCAACATAGCTTTTTAAGGGATACAGTTCTATCTGTAACAGTGGGTATTGTTGAAGAGAGATCCAGTCTGTTCCAGTTAGTTCCAAGTCACACCTGCGTGTGTTCAAAGTACTATCAAAAGTACTAACTGTTCTCCACTTGAAGGAAAGCTGACTTACTGGGTGGGGTTCCCAGTTAGAAAGTGGTTCAGTCAGGGTTTGAACCCAGGACATCAAATCCAGTGCTCTTTTCAAGAGACAAGCTCCTTATCCTTGGCACTCAATGGGATCCCTGAACGAGCAACAGAACTGAGCTCTGGCTCTGTGATTTAAGGCTCTGGGCCGTCTGCCTGGGGATGACGGTGTTTCTGTGTTTCAACCCCGTCTAGCAGGAGAGTATGCCCTTCGCGGTGGTGGGAAGTGACAAGGAGTACCAAGTGAATGGCAAGAGACTCCTCGGCAGAAAAACTCCCTGGGGGATCATTGAAGGTAATTCAAGGCAACTTCTAGAAGAACTGGCAGCTGATCAATCATCTGACACCCGTTTATTAAATGTCTATAGGTCAAGGGAGGAGCCCAGTGCTTAACTGCTCGGCTACTTACCAGAAGGTTGGCAATTTGAACCCATCAGACATTCGGCAGGAGAGAGATGAGGCAGTCTGCTTCCCTAAAGCTTTATGGCCTTGGAAATCCTAGGGGGCAATTCTTGCCCTGTTGTTGCTGTTTGATGCCATTGAGTCAGTTCCAACCCATAGTGTGACCCTATGTACAACAGAACAAAGCACGGCCTGGCCCTGCCCTATAGGGTTCTTTACCTTATAGGGTTGCAATGAGTTGGAATTGACTCAACAGCTATGGGTTTGGGATTTGGTTTATGGGTCAAGGTACTAGCCTAGGATTTAAAAAAAAAAAACCCCACAAAAACAAACCACAAACTCACCATCAGGTCTATCCCAACTCATGGCAACCCTATATATTACAGAGAACTGAGCTCCCGAGTTTTCTTGGCTGCAGTCTTCATGGAAGCTGATCACTGAGATTTTCTACCATGGTTCTATTGGGTGGGTTTGAAGATAATCTATCAGTTAGCAGCTGAGAAGAAATCATTTTTTCCACCCAGGGACCATGGCCTAGAATGATGATACAAATGAATGCCAGCCAGACCCTGCCTGTAAGAAGCTTACAGTCTAACTGGGAAGACAAGACTTATAGGCAGGAAGCAACGAGAGACTAGTTTAGCCTCTGACAAATCAGCTTAGGCACCAACTCAGTGTGTCAAAGGAGTTTAGAGCATGGAGAGAGTCGTAAATTCTGGAAAAATCAGGTTTTTAGTTGAAGTGCGATGAGACTCAGCAAACAGCTTTCAGATGTGTTTCAGAGTTGTTCAGATGTGGCCATGTTAGTTTTACCATGAGTGGATATGACTTTGGGCAAGTAATTATGAATGGCTGCCAGCTTTCAAAGAATCACCTCGATGATCCTATTGAATCTGATACTTGTGAGGCTAGCAGGGTAGGTAGGTATGTTTGTTCTCAGAATATGAGCCACCAAAGCACCTGAGTCTCAAGACAGGTTGAGTGTCTTGTCCTAGGTCACATAACTTGTTAATGGTGAAGCTTGGACTTTAGACTTGGATCTTTTGATTCCAAAATTCAGGCGGATTCCGCTGTACTGTGTTGACACTTAGCTTTTTTTTTTTCCCCCCGTATAACCTTTTGTTGAGATCATTTTTTTGTAGCATTTTCTTGAAATCTGCCTTGAATTGGAATCATTTATGAGAATGTTGTCACCCATTAGATTGTGAGGCTAGAGAGTTCATGGCTCAATCATCGTCTGGCTCCCACAATCCTTCACAAGTGCTGACAAATTCGTCAGTGCTCTGTCTACATTGGTTGAATTGCATTTATCATGTAGCGCGTGGCCTTCTAAAGCGGTCAGATTGTTATTTTTTACGTGGTCTACTGCCTTCCAATCAGCTCCTTAAGGACAGGAACTACATTTTAGGTCTTGGACAAGCGTTTTGGACTCCCTGTGCCTTCGTTTCCTTGTCTAGGAAATGGTAAAAAAAAAAAAAAATCCTTCCCATTAGCTCTTATTTCACAGTCTGGAACAGTATTGTGCCTCTCGTAGCTGAGGAATAAATACTGGTTCAGTGAGTAACATCTAATCTCTTGACAGGCTAGTATGAGAACACCCCAGAACGGGTATACATTGGCCTGCCCTGTGACTCTCTCCTAAAACCCCCCAAGGCTCTAACAGAGCTCACCTGCTGGGGTTGCTACATCCATGAACACTTGGCTTTGTTTTGCTTTGTTTACAGTGGAAAACCTCAACCACTGTGAGTTTGCCCTGCTTCGAGACTTTGTCATCAGGTAAGATGCCCACCCACAACCCAGATGACCAGTTTCATTGCTTTGGGATCAGAGGGGCATGTGAAGACATACTTCTTCAGCCTCCAGGTCTCTCCGACAGGACTTCCCATCCCAGGTCCATCTCCTACACGAAGCAGAAAGGACAATAGAAATGTTGGGTCCAGTCCATTGAAGTGATGGATGATTAGCCTCAGACGTGAGTCACTTTCTCTCCCCGCCCTAATCTTATCCCTGTCTCTTCCCACCTGTGTCCTTCAGGACCCATCTCCAGGACCTCAAGGAAGTGACACACAACATCCACTACGAGACCTACAGGGCCAAGCGGCTCAATGACAATGGAGGTCTTCCTCCGGTGAGCGTGGAAACAGAGGAAAGCCACAACAGTAACCCCTGACGACCCTTCTCTTGCATCATTACACATAGCCACTTTTCCACACACTCACATACATCCCAGATACCACCACCCACCACCTTCTCCTTTTCAATTCTGTCCCACAGGCCTGTCTGGTATTTGTAGAGCATCTTGTCTACATACTGTGTGTGTGTTGTTTGTATGTGTGCATGCCTGAGGAGTGTGCGTGTGTGTATGAATGTGTGCGTGTGTATGCAGGGTGAGGTATTTTTACTGCCTTCCCTGGAAAGTCCCTTGTAAGTTTGGTTCCTCCATGGCCGTTCATTCTCTGTCTCCCTTTCCTTGTGTCCCAGAACAAAGCCTTGTGCTTCACTCAAAGAGGTCTGGGGAAAGTTCCATTTTAAAAATGATGAGAGCACATGAGCCACAGGCAACTGCACATCTTGGAAGCTTCCCACAAACTGGGGCTTTGGGGATTGTCTAAGGACGGGCAGTGGAGCTAAACCTGGGTGGGGGGGTGGGAGAGTCTAGGACTGAACTCTCCCTTTCAGTCCAGGGGGTTGGTCAGGAGGAAGGCTAGCTAGGACGTCCTAGGAGAAGGGATGTCAGGGGAGAGCTGAGAACTCTACCAGTGCTGGGGTCCTGTAGGAAAAAAACGAGTGCTTAGAAGTCGAGAGCTCCACCCTTCAGACTGTGTTGTGGTCTGTCCCTGTCCCTGGCTGCTGCTTCCTACACCCTAGCCTGTTGCCTGCCTCTGCTTTCCACTTCCTCTTTTTGCCTCCCCCACCTTCCTTCCTGTATTCCTTTCTCCCTCTGGTATCTTTCACTTCCTTATAGCAACTCACTTTAGCTTCGTTGCTTTATTTAGAGCTTGTGCCCAGCATATGGTTTTAGACCACCTTCAAATAAAATCTCAACTGAAAGCATGGGACAGAGCAAATTGAGATCGCAAGAGAAATTGGAGCCAGAGAGAAGAATGGGGCTGAAAATTGCTGTGGTTGAGTTCTGACATTGGCCTTGAACTTGGAGGCGGGTGGTCCAGGCAAAAGGGGAAATACAACAAGGACTATGGGCCTCAGTGCCTGGTTCCAGGAAGCACATGGGTTGATCAAGTGAGACAACCTATCTTGAGCATATAGTTATACAAGAACTAAGTAGTTCTAAAGAATTGTCAGAAGCAATGTACCATATCCATCCTTGCTCTTAGGAGTTTGACTTAAGAGACACATTTTTACACTACATTTTTCTTCTCTCTCTCTCAATATTTTCTCTCTTTTAAGTGGCTTCCTTCTCAGATATACTTGTGCTCTTTTTGCTTGTTTTTTTCTGTCCTCTTTCACTTTTGTGCTAAAGCTAATTGCATTTATGTCTATCTGTTTGTCTTCCTCTGCTATACCCCGATTCCTCTTCGTCCTGACTCCTGTAAACATTCTAACAATACCCACACTCATACAGTTAGCCTTTGCTCACCTTTCCCCCCTCAACCCTGCATTTATGACTATATTTTTCCCCTGTCGGTGTTACATATACGTTACTCTTTTCCCTTTGGTCTGTAAGGTTGCTGAAATTCGGGGAAACTATTTAGCCTTAGGAAAGGGAAAACACCTAGTTACTGTTTACAATAACCTCAGACAACCTCCTGTCCCCATCTCCTGGTCCAGCCTTAGGCATCTCACTGGTCCGCGACAAATCCCAGCATTTCTAGTCCAATGTCATTCAGGTGCTAGGAAAACACAGAGACTTAGACCCAAGAGTCCATGGACCAGGAGAAGAGACGTAGGGTGATCAGCTCATCTCTGACCCCCAAACCTGAGTCTCCATCTTTCCAGGAGGCTTATCTACTGATCAATATGCATCCACTTTGGCCCGCAGTTATCCCAGATAAGCACCTGTTAGGACAGAATAGCAGCAGTGTTCCAACCTTGAGGAGAGACCACTGGCTTAGACAGTGAGCAGTCCAGTCTGGAGAGTAGGAGCGGACCCCTAGGACTAGCAGGGGCAGATCTAGGGGTGAGGGTGGTGGGCATTGGAGAGGCTGAGTAGAAGAATGGTACTTTGCCTCCTAAACCATGTCTGCTGAAGCCTCCATAGAGCAGGGTTTCTCTACTGGTCTCCACACCCTCAACCATTCTCAACCCCCCCTCCCCCCGCAGGGAGAAGGCCTTCTTGGTACTGTCCTTCCACCTGTGCCCGCCAGCCCCTGCCCCACTGCTGAATGAAGGCCATTTCAAGCTGCTTCTCCCTCCATTCCTCTCAGCTGTTATTGCTGCAGGGCCAAGCCCTTCTCAGCGCTCTGCTTGTCTAGCCCACCACCACAGCTCCCCACATCAGCAGGTGGGAGGGGCGAGCTGCCTCTAGGACAGTTGCTTCCTTCATTTACCCAAACCACCCCTCTCGTCCTGGTGGAATGGAGTTCTCGTCAGCACTGCCCTGCTTCATCATCTGTGTCAGCCGGTCCCAGCCCATCTGTAGGGAGGAAGAACTCACCAAGAGCTTCTTCTGCCCTTGCAATCCCTCCCAGCTCCTTGTAACCATCTCCGAGAGAAATGGTATTGCCCCCTCCCCATTCATCTGCATGAGCTACTCTTGGCTCTTCTCAAGGACCAAGAAAACAATTCTTTTTTGCTTGTCAGATTCGTGGATGTCAGCTGTTGTGAGCCCCAAGGGGGGACAAGGGTGTCTCCTTCATTGCTTGAAGGTATTCATGAGGATGGGTCACTCAGATGTGGGGGAGCAAGGGCTAGGATCACTATTTAGGTAGCACCATTTGTGGTTGGCCCCGAATACGCTATACACCCCCCCTCAACTGCTCATACTGCAGTCGCTTAGAGTGGTTTTCACCCAGACTTGAAACAAAGAACACCCCCCAAAACCCCAGAGACCCATAAGATGTGAACTCTAGGAAGATAAAAGGCACCCTTCTGACCACTTAGCAATAAGAGGGATCTCTTCCCACTCACCCTGGCTAACCCTACCCCCACCCCGTTAATGTGAGCAATGAATTAGCCTGACCACAGGTGGTCGCTGTAGGTTAATTGAAAATACCCTGTGGAGGGCAAAGCCCCCATTAGATGCATGAATGTTTGCGAATGTCGGCTGCCACTGCCCTACACACTGTCTTTTTGGAACCCCTCCTCCCCCCTCTCTACCTGGATACAATCTGCTCAAAGACTGGTGGCTTGTGGGGCCATTCATCAACTACCAAGCCCTGATGAAGTGCAAGAGGCCCAAGCCCGGGGATGCAAGAACGACCCATTTCTTCTTCACTGTTTGTTACCAGTCCCAGCCAACCTTTTGGTGACATGATGGCTAGACGTCCCAATTGAAAACGAGCCAACAGACACACAAACTGGTCGTGTAAATGTTGCTAGACTTCGTGTTGTACAACTAAACATTGCTGTTTGAACGTAACTGTCTGGCCCGTGTCTCCTTAAACAAATGAGTCATTACATCATCTTACCCATCTATGGAGGTGAGACAGGGTCTGTCTTAGTGAGAAGTAGCCTCAGTAATTTCATATGGGAATCATTTGGTGAGGTCAATTGATCGTCAGTGTGTGTGTGGTCATACCCCAGCAATTATTCTCTGGGGTTTTATATCCGAAACGAAGACTGGAGCTATCTCACTTGACTTTGAGGAATGCTGAGCTCAACCAGAAGCTCCCTCAATGGAAACAATGTTTACGTTCATTCAATTTCCCAGCTGTTTTCTGAAGGCATCAACACTATACCAAATAGAATGCAAAATTATATAATAGCTATGGAAAAGTTGGATGGTTCCTCAGAAAGTTAAACATAGAATTACCCAGACAGATTGCAGTACTATTCACAATAGCCAAAAGGGAGAAATGGCTTAAGTGCCCTGGGACAGATGAATGAATAAACAGAATGGAATACTACTCAGTTTGCTCCATGCTACAACATGGTAAAACCCTAAAAACCATATAATGAAATGTCAATCACAAAAGGACAAATGTTGTGTGATCTCACTAACATGAAATAACAAGAATAGGCAAATGTACAGATTGGCTGAGTAGAAAAGAGCTGTTGTTGTTGTTGTCAGGTGCCATCGA